GAGGAAAACCAGGAACAGAAACTGCAGGGGAACAGCTAGTGACATAGGAAGGTCATAAACTGGCAGCCAAGAGAAGGTGCTTTAAGAAGGAGGAGTGATGACTTGTGCCAAGTGCTGCCGATAGGCCAAGGAAAATGAGGATTGAGAACCCATCTTTGGATGAGGGCATTCAGGGCTTTAAGACTGTCACTTACTGAGCACCTATTAAGTGCAAGGCATTGTCCTGAACACTCATGTATAATAGCAGTAGAGAAGGAAGAGGCAGCTGCAGGCTAACTTTAATTGATAATAGCTGCCATTTATTGGGTATCTACTCTACATGTGATAGCTATTGGGAGTCTTACATATGCAATTCATTTAATCTTCCCCTTGCCTTGTGAGGTATGGCTCAGAGACATGAAGCTACCTTCCCCATGCGGCACAGCTATTAAGAGGCAAAACTAAAACTCAAACCCAATTCTAGCTGATGTCAAGGCCTGTGGTCTTCTGGATATCATTTTTCCTTAAGCAGTTCCCTGGGAAATCCTGAAGGGTCCCTGGGGTGTGAAAAGTCACCAAGAAAGATATATCTTTCTGTGGAGATCAGATTTACTCAAGGTTTTAAGGGAGGATATAAGTTTATAGTAAAAGAATTTTTACTATAGTATAATTTTTATACTATATTATATAGTATAATATAATGTTTATATAGTATAATATAATTTATACTATAGTATAGTATAAATTTTTATAGTATATAAAAATTTTATAGTAAGAATTACGAATGTAAAGTGGAATGCAGAGTTCTAATATCAATATTTAAATAAATGGATAACACACGTGGGCTTGTTGTCTGAGTCACTTTGGCTTATGTGTCGGTTTCTCTCCTTGGAACATCAAATTATGAATTTATCTTCTCTGAGAAAGCTGATTTGCTGTTTTTTCTAACTGGGTTGTGAGAACTGAGGTTCTTAACCTGGGGATCATAGAAAGTCTGGGAAGACATGAACCCTCTACGTGGAAAATTTTCTAATACAGACAGACTCATTTTTCTGTGACAGTGTCTACCAGCTTCTTAAAGGGCCCTTGACTTCCAAAGGCTGAGCTCCACATGGCAGAGGAAGAACAGTCGGGGGTGACTTGGGGGTAACGGGTCGTGACTTGCTTGTGGCCATTTTCCTGGGCAACTTTTGAAGGCCCAGTTGTACCACAGCTGGACAACAATCATGGTGACCAAGCTACATGAATGCTACCAGATGAAGTTTCAGCTGTAAAACAGTGTCGGTTCTTTGACAGTTTGGCACCTAACATTTGAAATCAGGGTCAGTCGGGGAAACCTAGTAAAAGTGTTGGGTCATAATTGTTCCTCAGACTTGCACACTCCGGGATCAAGTGTTCATAGAACCACTCAGGGAAAAGAAGATGTAAGACCCATCTATTGTTTTTAAAAAATATAAATAAGTCTGAATTAAGAAGATCCAAGATTCCTTGAATCATTCTTCCCAAATGTGTATGAGAAAACAGGACCTTACTTATGACTTCTTATTCTTCTCACCCTTTCTGCCTGTAGTTCAGAGGTGACGGATTAGTGCCTGGTAGCAATGTCTCCCTGAAATCTACACTATTGGAATTTTGAAGGATTATATGCAAATACTTAAAAAATCAGGAGAGTCTATCTTCCTTCCCACCCCATCAGGATTTCCAGCCTCTTGTGAAAATCATAAGATTTGTCAACATGAGACCTGTGTTTCCTTAGGAGACAATGAACTTTGTTCAGGTAAACCCATTCTTACCACTTCCTATTGTCCACACCTGACCCTGCCAGAGTCCTAGTCATTTGTAACCTCAGCCTCTGCTGTAATCAAATGCTCTTCAATGTTGCAAAACTCTTGATTGTGACAGATGAAGGAGACTGTTGAGAACAATTTTGAATACTATTTGGAGCTAAGCTCAATAGTTTTTGTTTGAATTGTTTTCAAATGTTTAATATAAATTGTGAATTAACAGGTCAATGACTTTGTTTCTAATATGGTGCCAACTACATCTATCTTCTCCCACGAATTTATAGCTTGGTAAATTTTAGAATTCCAAGAAACCTACATTAGTTCAGGCCAAATGAAACAGAGGTGAAAAAACTTAGTAAAAAGATTAAATTTAGTGCATTTCAAAATAAATTTCTTGATAGTAATTGAGTTAATGTCAATCTACCTCTAATAGAGTTTTCAAAGAGAAACAAAGAGGTAAAATTAATGTATAAATAATATTTACAAATTTAGAATAGCTACAATTAATTTATAATTGGCAGATATTAAATATACCTAAACACAGGTATCATTTTAATTAACAAAACACATTTATTCTTTTAATTAAAACATCTGAACCTGAACACACACAAGTTGCTTCGCCTGTTTCTCCATAGATAACACAACATGTTCTAGACCTGCTAAGGCTGAATAATCACACTTCAGATTTGACAGCCTTCAAACAACTGAGCTTTTGCATTGCAGATATTTGTATTTATTTTATTTGCACAGATCAGCCAGACACTCATCTTAATCACAGAGTCTTTAGGCAAAACACAAAATAAAAGAAAAGAAAAATATAAAACCCAGGAAAGCACATCTTTGCCAAGATTGATGGCCAAAAGAAACTCTTTCCTCAAAATGTAAATTCCAGCTCTGAAAATAGTTATGATGAGATTGCAAAATGATTTTCCTCAACATTTTAATGAAGCAGAATAGCTATGTGTTCACTTATTTATTTCTGTTCAACAAACCACCACCATATTGAAAACAACAAATCATTTGTTTACTCAAGAATCTGTAAGCTGAGCGGGGCTCAGTGGGGAGGAGTCATCTCTACTCCATGGAGTATCCATTAGAGCAGAGAGATCTCAGGTTGGAAGATCCATTTCTAAGTTAGCTGTCTCATACAGCTCACAAGCTGGTGCTGCATCTCAGCTAAGAGCACAGCAAGGGAACTTTGTTTCTCTACTTGGGCTTCTCCTGGGCACCCTGGGCTTCCTTCAGACATGGTGGCTGGGTTCCAAGAGTGAGTGTTCTAAGATGACTAGGTTTAAACTGTGAGGTTTTTGGTCAAGACCTAGTCCTCAAAGCAAAATGAATTAAAACCAGTGACTGAGGACGATGAAAGTAAAGACAATTACATCCACATCATAGGAGGGAAATAAAGGTCTTTGTCTGTCTGACTACACTGAAAACACAGCAGTGTTTCATCTTTCCAGAAAATATTTTCTCAGCCATAATGGAAGTTCCCAGTGGAAGCCAATTTCAACTTAGTAATATCTATAAATATATCTGAGCCAACAGGCCCTGGATGGCCCTCCAGAAGGAACTGTCAGAAAAGGCATTAGCTGCACTGATATTTCCTGCTGATCCTAGGGAAGCTTCAGTGTCCAAAGGTACTTACAGTCTTATAGGAGCACTTAGTAATGAGCCTTCAGAATCCTGGTTTTTGTCCTTACTTAGGAGAGCTTGTAACCAGCTAGCCAAGCCTCTAACTCAGATGCTGGAAGATAGTTGCATAACCAAGATAAAGGAGACAGAGAGGAGAATGGCTTTGAGAGCGTCGCTACCCAAATGAGAGCCATCAGGGTCAGAGTGGTCCAGAGGGGGAGTCAGCCGGGGGCCAGTGTTACAGGCATTTAAGGGGAAAAGAGCATCTGGAGTGGGAGTGGTCTGATTCAAGGCAGTGATGGAGAGGTGGTGGGTATTAGCATGGTTGTCCTCATGTGAATGTTGAGAGTTGATGGCTTTTTCTTCACAGGATACTCAGCTGGGAGAGGCCAGCCCTGAGGGTTGTGGTGGATACTTCCAAGGCTAGGGTAATGCCTTTTGTTAAGAGGGGAACACATTTGGGAGACCACGGCATCTTCTCACACTACCCAGGTTGCAGAGTCCCTGTCACCTTCTTCATGTCACTGGATGTACAGATTTTATCCACTGAATCCTTGGTTGGCCCCCAGTAGGCTGCACCTGTCCTGTGATCTTAGAACAATCTGACTTTCCCTGGTTCTCTTTGCATGGATGCATGAAACAGGATGACATGGGTTCCCTGCCCAGGTTCTCATGTCCACCAGTGAAGTTACCTGTGTGGCTGTGCCGATCTGCTCCTGGAGCAGGTAAGCTGACCCCGGCTGCGTGGAGCCCAGGGCATGGGCATCCTGTGAGAAGTAGGGACTGCCTGTTTACCAGTGGCCAGCAGACTGCCTGCCTCTTTGAACAAGCTGACAACATTTCTTGGTTCTTCCTCCTCTCCTCCACAGTAAGTTCCCATCAAACATAGTGTCCCAGCAGGAGCCAAATTTTTTTTTTAAAGTATCAAGATTGAAAACAACTCAAAGGTTGCTTGGTTTTCAGCCTTTGAGTTGCAGCCTGTTTGCAGACTGTAACAATAAGCCACCCTTTCTGGAGTGTCTTAGAAAGGAATGCTTGTGTTGTCAAGTTTCAAAGAAAGACTCTGGCCCCAAATCATGCTGGAAACTATGACAATGCTCCAGTAAACACCGAAATACAGTCGCCTTTCAGAGAAGCATTTCTCATGTCCCAGGGGAGAAGCCATCCTCTGTCCACCACTCACCCCCCCAACCAGGATCTCAGCTGTGTTTACTTTCACTTCCTCTTTGTCTTACAAAGCAGGATGAAAGCAATCTGGTGTGATTTCTTGATGGGCTCAAGTTTAGCTGGGGAGTTTTAGCCTTCAGAACCATGCTCCCCAAAACGCTTGAGAGAAAACAGAAGTCTAGCTGCGAAGAGTGCACGTGAAGGGTTAAGGCTCTCGGGTCTCTGTGTGTCCTCTTTCTCAGGGAGAAGAAATTCCCTCCTTAACCCACGCCCAAACTTTTTGGTAGCCAAGTGTTTAAAATTAGCTAAAGTGAAGAGTCAAAACACACAAAACACTTCCTGAAAAGGATTTTCAGTTAGGACAGTTTCAAACAGCTTTGCCAAGAAAGACTGAAAAGTTCAGGTCATTGAGAGCAAGGGGGAGGGCTGGACTCTTACCTGGGCTTCTCTCACTGTCCCGTTCTCTGTGCAATTTTCACTGTGACTGTCCTCGCTTTGACTGTGAAGAGTCCCATTGCAAACAGTACCACCTCCAGGCTCGGCCATTTGTGAGAAATGATAGACCTGGCAAGTTTTCCTCCACAGGATCTTGGTAAGCTCTAGTTTTGAAGTTGGTGAGGGAAAGAGATAAAGCACGTCTGCTGAACTGGAAGAATCCTACCAATCAGGCTTTTCCGGAAGAGGAGCAACGGCCTATATTTTGGGCCGATCTTTGAGACTAAAAACAAACAGTTACCTTTACACTCCTCAATTCACTTTGGCCTCCATGACAACAAAACTGCTCCTGGAACTACAAAGAAGGTGCCCATGCTGGGTCCCTGCATGGACTGAGGCAACCAGGAGGCTGCAAACCCCAGTGGCAAACTGTGAGGAGGCCGGCAGGGAGGTGGAGAATCTTTTAAAGACACACACACACACACCCCCCACTCTGCATGCTCAGGCAGTCTTCTCCACAGAGTCAGTACAGACTTTACCTCCATCCCTCCCATACCTCCCTCTTGCATCTAATTAGATCTTTGGTTATAAACCAAGCTCAAAGTCAACATTTCTCTTTGTAGTAAAATAACATTTAGAAGTGCTTTTCAGGGGATCCAGGGAGGAGAGAATGTGAAGTTACTGTTTAATGGGTGCAGAGTTTCAGTTGGAGAAGATAGACAAGGTTTGGGTGATGGATTGTGATGAGAATGACAGTGTGAATGTTCTTCATGCCACTGAATGAACTATACACTTTAAGATGGTTAAAGTGCTAAATTTTATACAATATATATTTCACCATAACACAAAAATGGCAAAAAAAATTCAGGACACACATAATGTTGAAACCAGTGATATAAAGGAAAGGAAATAGCTCTTGAAGAGTTCCAGTGAGACAGAAGTCTGGGAGACAGAATATTATGGCTGCATTACCTTTAATAAATGATCTTGGGAAAGCTATTTCTCTCTTTTTGCCTCAGTTTCCCAGTCTATAAAATGATAAAACTTTTTTTTTTCTCTGTGAGCTCATGTCTGATGGGGTAGCAGATAATGGCTCAGATTTGTTAGGGACACAGGTGATGTGAGGCACGTGGTCACTCCAGAAGCCCAGCCCTGGGCACCACTGGTTTACTCATTAACTCTGATTCTCTCCACGCACCCATCCCCAGAGGTCTGTTTTCCCCTCTCACCATCTAAAGGCATGTGATGACACGGTTTGTTGGACAGTGTCAATCATTTACAACCTGTCGAGTCCTCCCACGCCCACCCGCCTGGTTCTTCCAAATTGAGGCTCCTTTAATGTCAGGCACTTAGAAAAGAAACCCACTTATTGGGTCAATGAACACAAACAAACCACAAGCACAACAAAAAGACAGAAGTAACCCTTGTTGTCAGAGCCTCATTTCTGGTTCTCAGCTCCCTTGGGCAGCCTTTGTTTCCACTCCAGGAAGATGTGGCTGACAGAGGAAAGGATCATAAGATTTCTCCCAGCCAGGATGTGCCTGTGATGGCGTCCATTTTTCTCATTCCCTTGAGATCTGAAAGAATAAAATACAGTCTTTGGGCAAATGAGGGGATTAAGATGAAATGTAGTCTCCCTTTTGTGTCTTAAGATAGAATTTTTCTCACCATTTACCCCACCTTTCAATCTGAGCAGAACTAGGTTTTCATTAGTCTCTTCTGTGGCTGTTTCACTGGGATTTGTTGGCTTCCTTCTAGACTTACAAGAGAGAAGTCTTATAAGAGAGAAGAAAAGGGAAGAGGGCTTACTGATGACCGCGGGCTTGACTCTCTCAGTTTACTTAGAAAGAAAAATTGAAAACATGTTATTTTGAGTGAGCTCTATAGACCTATAGAAAGTTATTTTTTGAATAAGAGTTTGGAAATAAAGCTTCTTAACATTAGGTGCTTCATTCCCTTCTCCATTTCTTCTCTTCTTCCTTTCCAACCTCATCGTCTTAAGAGTTTCCTCTTTTTTCATTCATCCAACCCTTTCTCTTTCCCCTCTTCTTTTGCTTATCATTTTCTTTTCTTTTCTTTTTTTTTTTAAACAAGGGGACAAAAGCTACTTATAAAGAAAACATGTCAATATACAGCTGAAATCTGCTATATTTTTTCATCCTAATCTCAATTGCCAAGTGTAGATCATCATACACTGACCTTCAGGGAGTATCTACTACATGTTCTCATTTCTGAAACTGTTCTCCTTGCCATATTGTATGATGTGAATTTCACTGTGCACAAAATCATCTTAAGACTCCACCCATTTGTCATCAGTTACTGTGGGTATGGACAATCAGTGTTGGCTATGGTTTCACATCATCTCCAGTCAAAGTAAGTGGGGACATTGAGTGAGTGGTACCTTTGAGTGTAAAGACATTCAATTCTATTGGTCTCAATGTTTGTTTCCCACCCCACCCCACCCCAAAATTCACATGTTAAAATCCTAACTCTGAAATGTGATGGTTTGGGTGGTGAGGCTGTTGGGAGACGATTAGGTCAGGAGGGTAGAGCACTGCTGATGGGGTTAGTGCCCTTATAACCAGCCTGAGACGCTCCCTTAGTCCTTCAGCCTGGCGAGGTTACATCTGACAAGGGAGTTATCAATGAGTGAGCCCTCCCCAGATACCACATCTTCTGGTGACTTGGTCTTGGACTTCTCAGCTCCCTGAACTGTGAGAATTTTCTGTTATTTGTGAGCTACCCAGTTCATGGTATTTTGTTACAGGAGCCTGAACAGGCTAAGACATTGATCAACACTAAAACACAGACTAACTATTGAATATGATTCCCTGTCTCTGAAAAACTAAACGTATTTCAGATCAACCAGTAAACTCAACAAATGGTTGAATAACTGCTATATATTAGGCTATTTGCTAAGTCCTTTTACACAACAATGAACAAGACATAGGTATTCTCCACCCTCACAGAAATAAGAGTTAGCAGCATCTGCATATCTCCTGCTCAAAAGGTATCCTTATTGAAGGTAAAAAGAAATCTGCCCTTTAGTGTATTGAAGGCACAGACTGAATTAGTTAATGATGGCTTTGTGGTTATTTACTGAAGGGACTTTTGCCCAGATGCCAGCTTCCAGGGGTAGACAACAAAGGGGTGTTGAGAATCTTGGTAATGTGTTACTTTTAACCAAGATCAAGTTCAGTTCAGTTTTTACACCTCTGGATTTTGTGCACTATTTTGATTGAGTAGTCAGAAATAATCACAATTGTCACCACCTACCTTTGCTGTGACACAGATCATACCCACCATACTGGATGCAATCAGTGCCTCATTTGTAGCCTTTGGCTTTCCCAGGAGCCCCAACAAACTGCCCCCTCACTTTCCAGCTCCTTCCTGCATCTCACTGTGCTTATACAGGTTCTCTGACCAGGAGGTGTGCTCTGCCTCTGCTGTGAGGCCAGACGTTCTGGGGATTTGCATCCCTGGTAGCAGTCCTCAAACACTGAGTGACTGCAGTTGATATAGAAATGCCACATATCTTTTCTTCTCAGTGGGACAATTCTGAGGTGCATTCATAGTCTCTCTAGAGTCCCCAGTGGGATCGTGTCTTGTTCCCCTCCACAGTAACCTTCATGTGAAAACACCTATTTTTAGCTTTCTTTCCTTTCTTGTGCTTATTCACTCTCCCTGAAACCCCTCCAAACAACTGCCTGCACCCAATGCCTTATCTCAGGATTTATTTGGGGGAAACCTAAACAGAGTCAAGCAAGCTCCAGTTGGCCTACCAGATCTATTGATCAACAATCCAACTGGGTCTTCTGAATGATTAATATCATATTACTTTGAAAACAGAGACAGCCTATGGGAAAAAAACAAAACAAAACTAGTAAGTTCACTGAATACAACCTCAATAAACTTGGGAGATAAACAAGAAAATTCTTGTGCCCCACAGGAAAGATTTATTGGATATATGTGAGAAGAGGGTCTTTGCACCCTAGTTAGGAAAGGAATGTGATGATTTTTGAGCTATAATATCCTGAAAGCACTAAACATTTGAATGAGAAACAGGCTCCACAATTTTTTTTTTTTTTTTTTTAGAATTTGTTTTATCTGCAGAAAAAGTAAAATTAACTTGTCCTTTCTCTCAAGTTTGATGGAGAGAAAGCCTTCTGTTTTGAGCTGGCAGGGGATGATAAATGGAAATTATATGCTCAGTATGTTTATTAGTTTTCTATTGCTGCTGGAACAAATTCTCATAAAGTCGGCTGAAACAACACGTATTCCTCACCTTAGAGCTCTGTAAGTCAGAAGTCCCATGTGGGTCTCACTAGGCTAAAATAGATGTGTCAGCCTGGTTGTATTCCTTTCTGGAGGCTCTCAGGGAGAATTTATTTCCTAGGCACTTCCAGCTTCTAGAAGCCACCAATGTTCCTTTGCTTATGGCCCCTTCCACCCTCTTGAAAGACAGCTACATCACATGTCTCCAACCTTTCTTCAGTTGTACATCTCTGACTGGGAAAGTTCTTTGCTGTCAAGAAATTACACGATTAGATTGCTATAATCTGAGTAATCCAAGATGACCTTGGAATAAACTCAGTCACATTTAAAAACTTCCTTTTTCCCTGGACAATTATATACTCACAAGTTCCAGGGATTGGAGTGTGGACTTCTTTAGGTTGGCCATTAATATGCCTCCCATGGTACTTATTACTACTAACTTAAAATATATTTAAAAATCATGGAAGGTATCTTTATTTTGTTATCTTTATTTTTTAAGGAATATATATTTGTGCATTTTTTAAGGTTTTAAATATACCTTCTCAAATGAACGTTCAAAACCTTTTTAAAGCAGTTTTTTTTTAATTGCAGTTTATTGCTCATAGACAAAGGAACACTAAGTGTTCAGCTCAATGAATTTGCAAAGTGACCTCATCTGGGAACCAGCTTCACAGAACATGTCTAGCATCTAGAGTTCGATTTGTGTCTTGCCTCACTCATTGCTCTCTTTTCCCCCGTGAAGGAAAAACATTACCAGCCATATCGGTAAACAAAGAATGCTGTGGCCATCAAATCATCAGCTGCCATTGCCACCTCAGGTTGCAAGCAACAGGCAGCCCAGCCTTTGCAGCCACCCCCCAATGGTGTCTCCTGAAGGAACGTGAAAGAACAGCATTCTGGCCCTAGATAGCTAGGTTCATATCAAAGGAACGATTTCAATGAGCCCAAAAGTGCGTACCTTCCTACACATAGAAAAGTACTAAATTCTTTAACTTGAGATGTCTGGTTTTCTTTAGTTAACAGGAATCTTTTACTGTTCTGACTACTTGACCACTGTTATAAAACACTTATATATACTGACTCCTCCCCTACCTCTTTGGAGAAGTCCCTCAAAGTGATCTGAGAAGCTGTCATCCCAGCTGGAAGGGGTTTGAGTCCTTAGAATTGTCCACCGACTAAAACATGACTCAACTTTCAGGTTGTGCTTTATTTCAATTGACAGCTTTGGTGACCACATGGGACACAGAGCAGACTTCTCTCCTTCACCTGAACTCTATGAGGATTTGAGTCTTGATACCAGCAGAGGCCTCTTGGGCCCATCTGGTTGCTCGGAGAGTCCAGATGAATTTGGATGAGTCTCTCCTGGTTCTAGGATCTCCCGTTATCTCCCTAAGTTTTATTTTGTGGTGTCAATTGCCTCTCTAGAGGAGTAGGTTATCCTTGAAACTTAGTTTCAAGAAGTGGAAAGACAAGAACAGGGCAGGGCCCAGCCAGTCATGGAATGCCGCAGCAATTAACATCAAAATGATGAAAGATTCAACCCCTAGTAGGCCCTGAGGATCAGGATGATGACAGATTTAACTTCTAGCAGATCTTGAGCTTCATTATATGCTCATTGTAATATTAACATGGTGAATAACAGGCCCACAGGCACCATGGCAGTCCCAAGGCTAGCCACAAAAGGTAAAAAAGTGGGAAATGGCCAACTCCCTGGGAATCCCAGCCCCTTCCCCTTAGACTGGTCCTTCTATTTACTAGCATATGGAATTCACCAAGCCCATAAAACCCAGCAACATGATGCCTCAGGGATGGGCCCTCTCTCTTCCTCTTCGGAGACGGCCCACACTCTGTCTATGGATTGTGTACCCACTTTTAATCTGAGCAGTCAACCCCTACACTTTGTGGCCTTTCTCTTGCCTTTCAATGGATCTCTCTGAATAAATCTACCTTTACTCAACTGTGGCTTGCTCTTGAATTCTTTCCTGTGCGAAGCCAAGGACCCACACTTGGCGGGGCACGTCCCAGGGGCTCAATCGAGACCTGGGACACAGCCCTCCTGACACCCCACATTGTTTTCCTGCATGACACTGTGTGGGATATCTTCAGTAAAAACCGTTGGGAATATTTTTGGTCGAGCAGGTTGTCCTCAGTGAAAGGCATTGGGAAGATTTTAATCAGTTTAGAGTCTGAGTGCTTTTAGCCTTAGTTGACAGACTGGGAAGACTTTGCTCAGTCAAGAGAATGCTAAGTAGTTTTGGCCTGAGTGACTAGGGGAAAAACTGTCCTGTCATTTTATTCTTGAATTGGCTACCTTAATAGAGTTTGTCAAAATAAAACTGAAATCTTATGAGAGCCATTCTGCTCCAAAGATGATACTCTCCTCTGGGCTGGCAATGGTTTTCTCAGGTGACTGAGAAACTTGCAGGAGTGGTGGAGGCAGAGGCCTCATGCCATGCAATTTCCCTGTGGGGAAATATACTAGTTATTTATTCTGACAAACTGACTTTTGAATGGGGAATAAAGCTTTCAAAACAAAAGAAAAAGGAAAGACAGATTGCCAGCCTCCAACTAAATATCCCAGCCAGGTTTATGAGAGTAAAAAATTTACAAGTACTTACTTAATTCGAAATGAAAGAAAATCTCACCATGAAAATAACTAAGCTGGGCTCCTTTATCATATATGCAGTCAAGTAAAAAAAAAAGCTGGCCCGATAAAAACATTTTTTCAGAATTCTGACCTTAGAAAAGCAAAAGCTCTTCTAGGGGGAATTTGCATTTCTCTTCCTGTTCCCTTGCAATGTAAATGTTTTATCTTTCTCTGGGTAGTTTGCCTGTATGTATGTGTCTGTATGTGCTTTTTAAAAAAACTTATTCTCTGCTATCCCAAAAGTGCAAGTATAGTGTACATATGGCGACCAAGCAAATAGGTTGGAATTCTGAGCAATCCTTTGATTGTACCAGTTCTCAGGTATTTTGCCATCTTAACCTTTGTTGAATTAGACTGGGACACAAAGGCCTTTACTCTTTTGGGGAGTAAACTTTTGAATCTTATTTAGGTGGCATTTCCTCCCTGACTCTCTTGCGGGATAATCTTTTCATAGTATTGGTTTAATATACATCTTTTTGATGACCAGATGATGGATCCTTTAAATTGGAGAAACTTCTAAATTGGTAAAACTTTAGAAAGCTCTCATTATAATTAGCTGTTTTATTGGTATCTATAAAAATTAATCAGATGTAAAGGTGGAAAAATATATATCTAATGGTTAACCTAAGAACTCTCTTAGTTTTGTAAACAAAAATACTGCAATGTAAATGAAAATACTGCAACCATATCAGTAAACAAAGAATTCTGAAACCAAGTCATCAGTGGCTGCTGCCACCCCCAGTGAGGACAGGCCTGCAGCCTGGCCTCTGCAGCCACTCACAGTGCTGCACTCTGAGAGGACTCAGAATAAGAAAGGACAGGATACTGGCCCTAGATAGCTAGGTGCTTGTCAAAGAAATAAATTCAGTGAGCCCGAATGTTTGCTTCCTCCCATACATAGAAAAGCATTAAATTCTTTAACTTGAGATGGCTGTTTTTCTTTAGAGAACAAGTAATCTTTCATAGTCCCAACTACCTGGTATTTGTTGTAAAGCTCCTATATATCCTAGCTCCTCCCCTGCCTCTTCGGAGCAGTCCCTCAGAGGGATCTGAGAGGCTGTCATCTGGACTTGGGTCCTCCCACCAAATAAAACATAACTCTCATCTTTCAGGCTGTGCATTTATTTTAGTCAACAGGACTGTTGATAAATATGTTTGGCACCACCCTAAGAGATTTTTCAAAGAAAGAACATGCTTTTAAAAATTATTATTGTTGTTTATGTTTGCCAATATACAAAATGCTAGTGTAGAAGACAGTTCATAATTGTTTATTTCCTAGTTTTCACAGCAAATTAAGGATTTTAAGAGTTAACTCTTCTAATTTAAATATGTGATTAACTCTACTATAAATAATGAAGAAAACATTTTAGTATACAGTAGAAAAATTGGGTGTATGTTTTCAGAAAAAGAAAGTATACAGGATGAAATTACATTTTGTTACTTAGAGTTGGTAGTTTCTAGATGGGAGAATTAAGGGATAAAATAATACGAATAATGGTAGAAAATTTGTGGAGAAGGAATCCTGAGAAAAGAGTTATATATATGATTGGGATTGACTAAATGGAGTTTTGTTAAAAGTAAGCTGATACTGATGCAGGTTGTGCGGTGTGAAGAGGACCATGTCCCAAGTCTCAGTTGAGCCCCTGGGATGTGCCCTGCCAAGTGTGGGTCCTTGGTTTTGCACAGAAAAGGGCCACTGTTGAGTAAAAGTAGATTTATTTAGAGAGATACATACTGCATAGAGTGTAAGGCAAGAGAAAGGCAAGTAAAGAGGTGTGGGAATTGGGTGCTCAGGTTTAAGTAAAATTAGGTACACACTCCATAGACAGAGTGTGCGCCATCTCCAAAGAGGAGGGAGTGAAAAGGGCCACTACAAGTGGTGTTGTCAGTTTTTATGGGCTTAGTA